ATTTGCAAAAGACATTTGAAGTTGGGGGGTTTTATATGATTTTTAGCCAGGTGTTTCGGTTTCTTGGTGTTTTGACCTGAAGCTGTAAAATTAAAGCTGAAGTTTCAAGGTTACTTAACTAATGTTTATCTCTGAGTGGTTATTTCCCTGAAGGAAGCATTGTTGTATGTTTACTATAGTAATAATTCATGTTAAAATTCATGTTAAAGACTCTTTGCATCCCAAGAGTGCAGATGATCTAAAGAGACTGGCAAAGCATGTTTGTAATTAAACTAGATGGGAACAAACTGCTGTCAGAGGTCACAGTAACCTCTAATGGCTGTGACATTCATTTAAATGATTCCTTTTTGCCTCAAAATTTGAGGCAAAACAGCTCAGGAGCCAAGGTCTCACAGGTGGATGCCTAAAACTTTGGCTTTCCAGTTGCTCCACCTTCGACATGGAAAGGATTTGGGTAACCTGGCCGTGTACAGCAACTGCACTTAAAAGCTTATTGTGGTTATGCAGATCCCTCCAAGGCCAGGGTGAGTTTTTGGATGATCTTCCCACCTCATTTCTTTGCCCTCTGCTAGGAAAGCTCTGCTTTTGGTAGGAAAGTGAGAAAATGGGAAAACTGCGAAACTGGGGTTTCATTTCACTCCTTTTCCTTCTTATTTCTTTACTGTCAGGACTACAGCACCTCTCTGCAGCCTCCTGCTCATTCAGTGCTTTATCTTTGTATTTTATGTGGTTCTGTAGTTTGGACTCGAAGATCTTGGAGGTTTTTTGCAACCCAAATGATTCTGTGATTTATGTGGCTGCAGCAAAGGGCAGTATTCCAGTCTGATTTCCTTTCTCATGCTTGGAAAAGCGGGAGATCCAAGAATCCTCCAATGGATTGAAAAGGAGGAAAAGCCTGGAATTAGCTGGGAGTTTTCTTTCTAACAATCACCCCAGGAGGAGTGGCACTGTGGAGGTGGCAGCTCTAAGTCACACCCTTGCCAGGTGAGGAGCTGGAGGATGCTCCAGAGGAATGTCCTGTAAGAACCAGAGGGTGATGTACCTTGAACACTTTCTGACTCCAACCCTATGGAAAAAATAATAAAACACAGGAGTCTCCAGGATGTTTTTGTGTCAGGATCCAGGTCTCCAGCTGCAGGGTTAATTCCTGATTTCACTCCTCTATGAGAAGGTGACAGAAACCACAACTTTCAGCAATTGCTTCTTTACAGCTACAAAAATAGATGGTTTTATAAACATTGCTGGGTTTAATGGACTAAAAAGGAGTCAGGATGCCCCAATTTTTTTTTTCCCCTTTTGGAAGATGCTGTTCTTTGACTGCCCTTCCTCCTCCTGTCTTATGTTGTGGCTGAAGGATATCAGCAGCGAGCTGTTCGCTCCCAGATCTCCTCCCTTGGCTTAGATCTTCCTCCATGGGACTACTGCAATTTGACAGCAGCTCTTTCCCTGCTCAAGGCAAGTGCCCACTTATGCCAGCTTAGAGGAAAAACCACCACTAAAGGTCTCCTCTTGGGCACAGCTTGCAGGAGGAGTGGATGGGGTGGAGCAGATCTTGTTGTGTTGAGAAGTTGATGGCCCCGAAATTACAATTCCACTGATGTAAAAGATAAAGCCACGTCACACTGGGCTGTGTTTGTTTTAATGAAGCTGCCACACTCGTGCAGTTAATTGGTTTTTTTCCCTTGCAGCCTGGAAGTAGCAGCTGGATGGAAACATCTGGCAACACGGCGGGAGGGTGGGCTGTGACAAAACAGTGGTGTTGTCACCACTGGGTATGGCACAGGGAGGGGGGGAAGGCTTCAAATGTCCTCACTGACCCAGACAAGGAGCTCACCTCCACCTCCCCTTCAGGATGAAGTGTCTCTCCCTTTCCCCTCTTCCTCTTTTCCCCTTTTTTTCCCCCTTTTTTCCACCTTCCCCTTTTCCCTTTCCTTTCTCCCTTCCCCCTTTTTCCCCTTTCCCATTTTTTCAACCTTTCCCATTTTTTCCCTTTTCCCCCCTTCCCCTACCTTTTCCCTTTCCTTTTCCCCTTCCCTTTCCCATTTTCCCATTTTCTTCTTCATTTTCCCCTTTCCCTTCCCAACCCTTCCCTTCAAAACCCTTTTGTAGTTCTCTTTAGCTAAACCAGGACATTTTTGATAAGTAATGAAGAGATTGGAAGTTCCTTTTTCCACTTCCAGAAAATACTAATCTCACATGTTCCTGAGGAGTAAGTGGAGCTTGATGATGTTTTCACTGCTATTAGTAAAACAAATATTTTGCAACAGGAATTTTTGAATTCTGATTGTTTGCAGCTGAGGCGTAAATTTTAATCCAATGCCAACACACTTCAAATTAGCCTATGTGGAAAGTTGTTTAACTACACATTTGGCATATGCTATAAATATATAATTCATAAGTGCATGTAGAAGTGTACACACACACTATATATACTACTTACCACATTAATATTTTAAATTCTGTTATGTGAAAGAAGGTGTTTTTCTTTATTATATGATTGCTCTCCCATTCAGAGTCATTTCAGTTGAATGTTTAATGCATATGAGGCGTTATGGACATTAAAATAATTATGGAATGGGCAATTTAGAAATGCTCTCTGACCAGTGGATCCCTTTTTAATAATCTCATGAGCCCTTTCAGGTGGATATAGTGCACCATTTACTCCCCTGATATAAAGCCTATATTCAGGGTCAGGCCATAAAGCAGCTGATACTGAGATATCCCAGCTCTCTTTAAAAATGGAAGCAATTTGCATTGAGCAGGAAAGCCAAATTCAAGCAGGGTGTCCAAAAAGCATCTGTTAAAAAACATTATTTGCCATTAACTGACTCTTGAAAATACCACTGGGGTGGTGCAGAGCAGAGGATCTGATCTAGAGAATCACAGAATGGCTTGGGTTGGGAGGGATCTTAAAGGTCACCTCATTCCATCCCCTGCCATGGGCAGGGACACCTTCCACTAGACCTGGGTGCTCCAAGCCCCACCCAACCTGGTTTTAATATTTGGATAGAAGTCCAGGAGTGAGGAGTACAATCTGATGATTTGAATCCAAAAGAGTTGCTGCCCAAAAGCAGGATCTCCTCTCTCCCCTCTGTTGTCTCCTATTGATCCACAAAATTCCTCTCACCATCCTCACACATTCCCCTCATATTAAATAATGTCAGAAAACGGAGTTTTGTGCTCTGCATATCCAAACTCTCAATTAATCAGTGCCATCCAACATTCCTGATCCATTTTCCAGTGATGCTTGGGAAGGGCATTTTGTTATTTTTCATCCAGGCAGCTCCTGCTTCCCCTACAAGTTTCCATCTGATTCCTTTCATGAAATCCCTCTCCCAGTTGAACTCTCTCCCCCTCAGCTGCTCCTTTGCTCATTTTCCCTGCCAGCTTTGCCTCCTTTCAGGGCTCTGAGCTGCGACCAGGCTGGAGAAAATGCTTTTACAGGCTCTGCCTATCCTTGAGGAAATGCTTTTACAGGCTCTAATATTCCATCTCCATCTTTAGATGCCGAAATATTTTCATGCCACCTCTGCAAGCTGCAATTTTGAATGGATCTAATCGGTTCTGCCCTCTACCTTTTATAACTAGAAGCATTTTGGAATGAAAATTGAGATATCCCATCCTTCCCTCCCTTCCCCTAGATCCTTTCAAGCAATAAAAACAAAGTTTGCCTGACTTTGAGAACTTCCCCACGGCACGAAAGCCTTTTCCAAGAGTTTTAATTGAAGCTAAGCATCTATTTAGGTTACAAAGGCCTATATTTAACTTGAATGGAATAATTCCTTTTCTTGTGTTTAACCTTTGATCAGCTGCCTACCTTTGAACTCTTGGATAACGACCCCCTTCTTGTTATCCTTGTCCCACTTCTCCCGTAGCTCTTGCATAACAGCACCTCAGAAATCAAAACAGAGCTGCCTTTGGTGAAATAACTTTTATTTCTTTTCACAGGGATGGCTTCAGCCACTTTGTTTGTTCTTTTGTTTTGTTTTTTGTTTTTTTTTTTAAGGCAGAGATCTGGGACATAACACCGTAGGATGTTTGTACAGTTTTAAATTAATTAAGTGGAGGAAAATATATGGATAAGAGCTAAATCTAATACTGATATTCCAGATTATGTCTGAAAAGTCAACTTGCTCTTGTTGGATTCACCTGCCTCTTCCAATCTCTCACTGCCATCAGAGATGGACAATAAATTCATCTGTCCCCTGGGCCAGAGGCTGGGCAGGGCATTTTGTTATTTTTCATCCAGGAACGTGGCACTCAGTGCTCTGGGCTGGGTGATGGGTCTGAGGTTGGACTCGATGATCTCAGAGGTCTTTTCCAACCTTAAGGATTCTGCATCATTCTCACCTCACTTTGGGTGTGGTTATCAACCCTAAACTGCCCATGTCTAGGATTTTGTGACAGATTTTTAACAAATTTTAGAGATTACATTTCAAATATAAATATGCAAAATAATAGCATCAAAGTCTCCCAAACTACTCACATCACTCAAAAGAACTTGTGGTTACACAATCCATAAGATTTAAAAATAAACTCCAGAAATAAAAAAAAATTAGCATGTTGTTAAAAATTGTGGTATGGTCTAAATTTTCCTAATTAAAAAAAAAAAATCAGCAGTACATGATTTAGAATGTTCTACACTATTAATTACCTTGTTGCAAGTGCTTGCACTAAACAATCTGTTGCTTCAGGACAGATGCAGGTGACAATCTTCCTATTAATATTTGTTTCACAAATGAATTCAGAAAACAGAGATGAATTTCTGCAGTGCACAGACAAATAAACACTTATCAATCCCCTTTTCCCCAGATAGTTTCAGACTCTCCAGATCTAAGTGATTTATAATTCCTATGGCACTTCCAGACTTGGTGAACATACAAAGGTGGTTTTTTGTGTTTTTTTTTTTTTCCTTTTTCTTTGGAAATATCCTTTCATCACCCATCCCACCCCAATTCTTTCACTATCATATCCCAAATCAAAAGTGAATATTTTCTTACCTAGTGACATACAGAAATAAATAAGAAGGTGATTCTAAAATTGCTCACGAAGCCTCCACAATATGTGAGTGGTCTGGCAAAACCCGAGAGTTGAGCTGCACATGAGGACAAAGGTCCCATGGAAGGATGGAATGACATGGATCCTTCCCTCTTCCTTTATTTTATTTTCCTCTATTTTGCCTTATTTCCTGCGCATCTCTTCATCACTGCAACACAAACACACAGAAGTTTACTTTAAAATTTCCAAACTTTGAAGCAGGAACATGGAGTGGAAGTTCTGCTGCTGGAATAACTCAACAGTCTGGTTCATTCCAAGAGCTATTTCTCCATAAATCAACCTAATTTTTTCCATCCACTGAGCAGCAAGTGCACAAGGAAACCATGCCATGAACAAACACAACTGAAAGTTGGTGTCAGGGTGAGGGTATTTTCCAACAAGGAATTAATTCTGAGCTGGTTCTTCTTTCAGGGCTCCTGAGGTTGTTCAGCTTCTTGCAGTCTCTTTTCACCTCAGCATGTTCTGCATGGCCACGCCAAGAAAATAAAGCAAAAAGGAATGGTTTAAATGAAATAATCTAGAATTAAAACTCCTTTTGAAACTAAAGGACATTGCCAAGATGACCACAAAGAAGGATCATCTTACTGAAACTAGAAATACACGACAAAAAATACTTGAGAGAGTAAGGGAGGAGAGATTTGAGAGGGTCTGGGACTGTAAAGTCCAGTTAGATCCTTATTTTTTTTTTTTTTTTTTAGCATCTTTATGCTGGTCCTGTGGTGCATCAAAAACTCCAAAGGCTGCAAGTTCACTGGGGCAACACCTCTGTGCTCAGGCAATATTTCATGGTGTGCTTTACAATGGGAACGAGATCCACTGACATTTCTCAGGCGTGGGTGACATTTGAGCCAGAAAAAAAAACCTGCCTGTACAACTGAGGGCTGTAAAACCCCACGAGGGTGTGTGAGGAAAGGTGATTTGCAGGTATGAAAACACCCAGAGGTAAAATATTTTGCCTGTCCCAGTGATTTTTTTTTGTTTTTACACCTGCAGATGAGCTTGGAAACATGATTTAGCCAGGCTTATTTTAAACAGAACTCCTGTGCTAAAGGGACCCAGGCTGTGAATCCATGGGTGTTCTATCAGGGAGCTTGAGGAATATCTGAGATTTTTATTATTTATTCTCTAAGGTGAAAAATAGGTTGTTTAAGGCTTTTTTTCCCCAGTTCTGTGAATGCCCAGGAACAGGACAGTACAAGCATGTGAATCACAGACTCACAGAAGGATTTGGGTTGATGATCTTAAACATCATCAGTTCCAGCTCCATGCCATGGGCAGCATAAGGGAGATCTAGTTTATGTTGGCATCCCATGATCTGCATCCTCTGACCATGGATAACTAATTAACCCCAAAATAAACCACAGCACAGGGCCACTCAGCATTTTAGAACGATTTACAGGGTTGGATATTATATTTGTGCAAGAAAACAAACATTTGCACAGTTCAAACTAATGAGACAATGGAACTCTCAGTGCATCTTATTTTGCTTTGATGGTTCCATTAAAAAAAAACTAATTTGCAAACGGTTTAAAATTATTATGAATATGTAAACAAACCCCATGCTGAGTTATGCTGAGACCTGCAACAAGTTAAAGTTTTTGATAATTCTTCCCACATTTTTATGGTTTCAAGACTTTCAGAAAACGAGTGTTGCCAGCAGGCTGTCACTGGCAGTGCCCTGTGCGTGACCAGAGTCTTTATGAGCCCCTTCCAACTCCAGCTATTCCATGATTTAAATACTCAGTACCTAGAAATGAGAACCACTCATTAATATCTTATGAGAATAATTTTGGGTCAGGCTTTTTTGCCTCTCATAACATATTTTAATGCTCTTCTTATTGAATCTTCCATTAGAGCTCTGGAGAGGTAATTCATATTTTCCTTCTGTTCAATATTTCCTTGCAAGGGAAGAACAAAAGCTGGAATTCTCTACCTATTGCTGGATAATTCCTAAGAGATTCCTGTATTTATTACTACTAGAGCCTAGATAGGGAATATACTTTCCACCACACCATAAAGCATATTTATGAGAGTACAAACATATATATATGGGTCAGAATGAAATGATTTCTTTCCTTAAATAAAGGGGGAGCAAAACCAAGAGAACCAAGAGCAGCTTTTTTTTTTTTTTTTTTTTTTAAATAATGACTGTGCATCGAAAATGTCAAACTTTTAAAGTTATGTATTTCCAACAGTCCAAGTTTCTTTATGCACTGGGTAATGAATCAGCACATTCTTTTCTGCTGCTGTTCTTGTGGAGAAACAACACCCTGGAGAGGAAACATTTCCAGCTGCTGGAGGTGTGGCTTTCACACTCATCTACACATTCACCTACAGAGAATGTGTTTGTCATGATAAATATTTACATATGCAGACATGCACTTCCATATCCTGCAGAACTGATTCTACTTTTCTCTGGATTTTTTATTTTCCTTTTCTTTTTCTCTTGTGTTTTTATGTTAAAAATAAATATATATATATTATAACATCATATTGTAACTTTTTTTCCCTGCATCTATGAAGAATATTATTTTTATACTATGGTAACTCTGTAAAAAGTTACCCTGTTCAGAGATTATTTGTTTTTTATAGATATATGAAATTTATTCACACATATACCTTCCAGCTCCCTGTTCAGCTGGATTCATATATGAGGTTTCCCTTTGGTTTCCTGAGATAATTTTAAATACTCATTATATAAAACACATATCAATATAAATTTTATTTATAAACTAAAAATGTAACTCTAATAATAAAATAAATCTGTCAGGACACCTGTGGATGGACACATGAGGTTTTCCTTCTGTTTCTTGAGATAACTTTTAATACTCATTATATAAAACACGTATCAATATAAATTTTATTTATAAACTAAAAACGTAAATCTAATAATAAAATAGATCTGTCACTATACTTGTGCATGGACACATGAGGTTTTCCTTCTGTTTCTTGAGATAATTTTAAATATTGTATAAAATAACATATCAATATAAATTTTATTTATAAACTACAAATTAAATCTAATAATAAAGTAAATCTGTCAGTACACCTGTGGATGGACATACAAAGTTTTCCTTGTTTCTTGAGATAATTTTAAATACTCATTATATAAAACAACATATAAATATAAATTTTATTTATGAATTACAAATTAAATCTAATAATAAAATAAATCTGTCAGGACACCTCTTCAGTCCACCTGTGGATGAATAATGAGGTTTTCTTCTGGTTTCCTGATATAATTTTAAATAATCATGCAACTCAGTACAAAAAATATAATATAAACAATATTTATAAATTAAAACTATCAATCTAATAATAAAAAAATATCTAAGTCAGTACATCTACAGTTGCAAGACTTAAAATACTATGTTCTTGATATTTTGGTACTTATCTTCAATAATGGTGACAAAATAATTTCCTACAGCCTGATATATTGTAATTTTTTAAAATATTTTTGAGGTTTTTAAATATTAAAAAAAACCCTCTAAAATCTTTCAGGTGGTTTCACTGTCCTGTAAAAACAAAAAGCAGCAGCTGTGCACTTATTGCAAAATGGATACGAGAACATCATCCCCCTGCTCGGGTGCTCACCTGAGGAATCTTCTGCACCTGGAAATACTGTTGTGCTGCAGCAAATCCACAGCAATTTTCCAACCTGCTGCAGCCAAACAGCAGTAGAAAATGGGGAAGAAATGCTGCTTTAATCCTTCAGCCCCTTTGCTGCAAATTCCTATTCTTATTTACTTTAAAGGCACCTTATAAATCTTTAAATCTTTAACACGATGAGCTCTCAGTGCGAGGTGACCCAGTGGTTGTGAGGTTGGACTTTCAGGGGCAATTAAAGGTTTTAGTGGCATCCTCCTGGAAGAGCAAAGGCAAGGCAAAATATGGAATTGTAGCCTCGTTAAGGTTGGAAAAGGCCTTTAAGATCATCAGGTCCAAGCCCCACCACCATGTTCACCACTAACACCTGTCCTCAAATGCCACATCCACGTGTTTTTAACACTTCCAGGGATGGTGACTCCACCCCTTCCCTGAGCAGCCCGTTCCAACGCTTTAGAACCCTTTCCAGGATGAATTTTTCCCTCATATCCAATCAAAACCTCCCCTGGTGCAACCTGAGACCCATTCCTCTCATCCTGTCACTTGTTCTGTGGGAGAAGAGGCTGATTCCCACCTGGGTCCCCCCTCCTCTCAAGGAGTTGCAGAGCCAGAAGGTCCCCCCTGAGCCTCCTTTTCTCCAGGCTGAGCCCCCTCAGCCACTCCTGCTGCTCCAGCCCCTTCCCCAGCTCCGTTGCTCCTCTCTGGACTTGCTCCAGCAACAAGATGTGATATGAGGAGGATCAGCCCAGGTGGAGCCTCATAAATTCCTGAAGGCACCCTAAATCCCTAAATCTGGAGTGATCTCTATATTCCTACAGCTCCTGAGCAGCTGGGATGTGTGGGATGTGTGGGAAAGCACATCCCTGAGGCCACAAGGAGAGCTGCAGATGGGAGGGAGAAAGAAAGTTTGCATGCAGTACTGTGAAAAATATGAAAACTAGGGAAACTTTTGCTTTTTATTTATCTTATTTTTAAAAAGATAAATCTAAGACACATATTTTAACAACAAGGAGAAAAAAAACCCAAACCCAACATTATTGTCGAAACCAAAGAATTTCGACTTCCCACTCTTCTTTATTGTTGTCAGCTTCAGAAGTTTCCAAAGCCTAACAACGCCACTTCAAAAGCACTTAGTTTAAATGTACACCAGATAATGAAAGAACATCTTTTAAGAATATTTCCAGAGACATAAAAACCCCCAGCAAGCTGACACCACTGGCACTTTGACAAACAACGCACCCAAAAAAACCATACCCGGCCACAGAAATAAAGCTGGTGCTGAGAGTGACACTTTCCCTCCCTCTAATTGACATCCTGGGAAACAAAAGCACGAAGAGAAGCACATTATTATGTTACTCTGGTGAATAGAGGCTGTCAGGGAATGCAGCCTGTTTGTTTGTTTGTTGGGAATCAGCTGCATTTTGATCTCAGGCAGGGGAGGGAGAGGAGCCGGGAAGCAGAAGGGATCTGCCTGCAAGGGCTGGCAGCACGATGTGCTTGGAGGAACAACCCAGGTGTGTTT